TTCCAGGTTGCTTCTCTCCTGGATTAGTTTCCACCCATTGTTTCTTGTCCTGCCTTCAGATGCCCTCTGGAGAATAATTTGACCCCCCTCTTCTTTGAGGCATCCTCTCAAATACTGGAACACTACTATCACGTCTCCCCTAATTCTTCTTTTCTTCAGACTAGCCAGAGACCCAAAACCTGCAGCCATGCTTCGTACGGTTTAGCCTCCAGGCCTTTGACCATCTTAGCTGCTCTTAGGTGGTCCCTATGAAGTTTAAGCCAATGGGGAGCCCAATTCTTAGGATTTTCAGAAAAGCCCCCCTTTCATGTCACCCTGGGTGCAACCCGGAGACCTCGTATATGCGAGCGTGGATGCAGAAAGCAGATGCAGGAAATAAGAATTGGGAGGGTGGAAATGCACGACGCTGTCCTTCAGGAAACCTCGGTTACTCTCCTTGGGCACAGTGGCTGCGAGAGAAAACGTGCAGGAGCTGGCAGCCCTTTATCATCCAAAGGATGAGGTAGGCTCCCCCCTGCCCCCACCTGGCACTAGACGGACCTTGGACTCGATGGCTCACCCCCCCCCCCTTACTCCTCCCCCAGCCACCCTGCTTAGTTCCTCAAGTTAAAAGTGCTGTCCTGACAACTTCTGATTCTTTATTCTTAAGCTGGTGTGAGGACAGGCGGGCAGTTCAACAGGGGAAAGCCAAGCCCAGAACTGGTGAGTCCTATGCAGTTCATCTCTTATAGACAGTGTCCCCTTGTCCCTTTCTGTCCCCTGACGGAAGGGGTTAGAATCCTGGCTTCCAGCCATCGCTAGGACATCTGCCCCCATTCAATCAGAAACCCAAATTTTGCCTTCTTGCCATCGCTTGAGCTCCACTCACTAGAGTTGTCTTCCTTCTAGCCCAACTACACAAGGCAGAACTTTTCACTTGGCCCTCTTTTTAAAAAAATTTTTTTTAAGGATATCCAGATATGACTTTCTCTAGCCTTTCTGACCTATGGGAGGTTCGCTGGCCATCTGAATGCCGAAACTGTCTGCCTGTGCCATCTGTCTAATTATTCTTCCAGATTCTTTCTTTCTTTTTTTTAAAAAAATGATTTTATTTAGAGCTTTCTTCCCTGGATCTAGCCGAGAAAACTTGGGTCCTCAGGAAAGAAAGGAAAATATCTCTCTTTTCAGCCTTTCCACTTTATATCTGTTTCCTGGTAGAGAAAATTGGTTTTTTTTTAACACTGTACCAAGTCAGATTTTGGTAGGTTTGGATCTGGGCTTAGCGGCTTGCGTGAACCGGCCAATTGTGATTTATTTAGCAAGCCAGGTTTGGGAAGGCTGTGGCGTACCCAATTCTGTCTGCATCCAGTCATGGTGTATTTCACGACAAGCCAAACTGAGTTTGTAATCTGCAGTCTTTCCCTTTCACCAAAAAGGGTGTTGTTATGCCACCTTCAAATGGGTATGTGATGGATTCTCACTATATTAACTAGGGCTGATAGGAGCAACTGCCCAATGGAAGGGCTCCAGGTTGGGGAAACCACAGGTACTTCTCGGCTTACCACAGCTCGTTTAGCGACCGTTCCAAGTTATAACGGCACTGAAAAAAGCAACTTACGACCGTTCCTCACGCTTAGGACCATTGCAGCATCCCCATGGTCACACGATTCCAAAGTCAAATGCTTGGCAAAAACTGACTCACATTTATGATGGTCACATTGGCCTGACAAGCAAAATCAATAGGGGAAAACAGATTCACTTAACAACCGGATTTCTAATTCAACCACTGCAGCAATTCAATTTAGTTTAGTTTAGTTTAGCTCAGCTCAGCTCAGCTCTGCTCTACTCTACTCTACTCTACTCTACTCTACTCTACTCTACTCTACTTTACTTTATTGTCATTGCATCTCGTACAACCAAATGAAGTGCCATCTTCAGTGTGCCTTATACATAAATAAAACAAAAACACACATCCTTCTAATTCTATACAATTGAATTGAAGGGCCCCGATATTGTATTAATATTGCACTATACAGTAGAATTCAATATAGTTATTGCTCTGGGATAGAAGCTTTAAAAACAGTGGCAAGGACGGTTGTAAAATTGAGGCAAAATGCACTTAACAAATGTCTCACTCAGCAACAGCAATGTTGCTGGTCGTACGTTGAGGATTACCTGTATTGGCAGCAACCAGCAGCCGCGATGTACAACAATTTTTTTTTTGGCCAGAAACGTGGGATGTTCCTTCCAGCCATGGCTAACTGAGCTCTCTTTTCTCCTTGGACCAGCCATGACCAGGTCCAGCCAGTACGTGGTGGCAGGCACTCAGGAGGAACCCCCTTCCAAGACAGCATCTAATGGGAAGTTGGAGGCTTCCAGCTCGTCCTCCCAGGAAGCCATGCAGCTGAAGAAGGAGATCTCGCTGCTCAACGGTGTCTGTTTGATTGTGGGCAACATGATCGGCTCGGGCATCTTCGTCTCACCCAAGGGGGTCTTGGCCTACAGCGCATCTTACGGACTCTCCCTGGTCATCTGGGCCGTGGGGGGTCTCTTCTCCGTCTTCGGGGCCCTCTGCTACGCCGAGCTGGGCACCACCATCAAAAAATCGGGGGCCAGCTATGCCTACATCTTGGAGGCCTTTGGCCAGCTGCCGGCATTCATCCGCCTGTGGACTTCCCTTCTCATCATCGAGCCCACCAGCCAAGCTGTCATCGCCATCACTTTCGCCAACTACTTGGTCCAGCCGTTCTTCCCATCCTGCGAGGCACCGTACCTGGCTGGACGTCTCCTGGCTGCTGTCTGCATCTGTGAGTGTCCATTGGGCCGGGTTGGCGGATGGGGGTGGGTGAGTGAGTTGAGGTCACGGGGAGGAGGATTGACCTCCTGCTCTCCTCTAGCGATGGTTCGGACTTCTGGAGCCCTTGAGGGACCTTCTCGAGAATGGAGGCCGGACATCTCCTTGCTAGGGAGGGATTGGGGTAGATTCTCGCTCTGCCAGAGCTTGATTTCAGGCAGGGCGAAGGGCAGATTGCCGCTCTGGTATCTAATCTGTTTTCTCTGCTCTTATCTTGCCCTGACCTTCCCTTTCTTTCTCCTCAACTCCTTAATTGAGATGTCAAGTCCTGAAGTTGTTAAGATGCCAACTTTGCCCAAAGACACACCCTGCTTTATCTTTGGAACTGGAGCTTCCCAGAGCTGCATTTTAAACCACGTTTCACTTGTATTTGGCGTGGTGGGGATAGAATCATAGTTTCCTTGCCCCTTTATAATATGAAGTTTTTCTCAGACAGGACCTGCCTATTTCTCCCTTATCCTGATCCCGTTCTCCTGGTTGGCCTGTGAGTCAGGCATCTGTGATAAGGCATTTTTGCTCCTTTCTTTGATCAGGCCTGGATTTGGGGATGGTTCAATCTGACAAAGATTTGACAAACTTTCAGGCTCCAGAGAAGTGACTGCCTGGATTTCTGAATAATAGATTTGGAAGGGACCGTGGAGGCTTTCTAGTCCTACCCCATGCTCAGGCAGGAAAATCCTACACCATTTCAGACAAATGGGTTCAAAAACTTCCAGTGTTTTTAATCTTGGAGGCAAGTCATTAATTGTTCTAACTGCCAGGAAATTCCTACTTAGTTCTAGGTTGCTTTTCTCCTTGGTTAGTTTCTACCCATTGCTTCTTGTTCCACCCTCAACTGCCTTGGAGAATATCTTGACTTCCTCTTCTTTTTGGCAGCCCTTCAAATCTTGGACCACTACTATCATATCACCCCCGCTACTGAGAAAAGGGATGGTTCTGCACAACCAGTGTGTGCATGGCCCAGTTCCAAACAGGAGCCCTTTTTGGCAGCCCTGAGATATTGGAAGACTGCTATCATGTCTCCCCTTGTCCTTCTTTTCATTAAACTAGACATACTCAATTCCAGCAAAGGTTCTTTATACATTTTAGCCTCCAGTCCCCTGTTCTGACTTAGGCTTCACAAAGTCACGAAGTAGACTCCTTGTTCCGACAAGGAGTTTTTACTAGGCTAATGTGAATTCCTATCATTCACATCCAGCAAAGTCCCAGCAAACAGTCTTAGATCTTATCAAGCTTGGAGAACTGCCAGGCTGATAGCTTCCAAGTTGCTGTCCAAGGAAATACTAATTGTCTCCTGCAAACACCACTCCCCTTTCGCTCCTCTATGGTAGGGGCCATTCACCATCCACCACCCACATTGCTCTTGAGTTGAGTTGACACAACATTGAGTTGACCCTTGTTCCTTAACTTCTCCTGACAGCTCTGGGCATGTGCACACTAGGAACAGGCTTCAGCTGTTCTTCTTCCCCACTGATCTCCAACTCCGAAGGCAGCTGATAAGTGTCAGATGGCCCTGGCCCCATCTCTGCCTCCGACACAGAGCCCTCATCAGAGCCTTCCCCAGACTCCAGAACTGATCACAAGTACAGATTAGGAGAGACCTGGCTGAAAAACAGGAACTGTGAGAGGGACCTTGGAGTCCTAGTGGACGATCACTTAAACAGGAGCCAGCCATGTACGGCAGCAGCCAAAAAGGCTAATACAATCCTTGGTTGTACAAACAGAGGCATAGAATCAAAATCACGTGAAGTATTCATACCCCTTTATAAAGCCTTGGTGAGGCCACACCTGCAGTGCTGCATCCAGTTTTGGTGACCACATTACAAAAAAAAAAGAGGTTGAGACTTTGGAAAAAGTGCAGAGAAGAGCAACTAAGATGATCAAAGGCCTGAAGACTAAAATATATGAAGAACAGTTGCTGGATTTGGGTATGGATGGGTATCTGAGGGGCTGTCTCAAAGAAGAGAGGGTCAATTTATTTTCCAAAGCACCTGAAGGCAGGACCAGAAACAATGGATGGAAACTAATCAAGAAGAGAAGCAACCTGGAATTAAGGTGAAACTCCCTAACAGTGAGGATAATTAACCAGTGGAACAGCTTGCCTTCAGAAGTTGTGGGCTCTCCATCACTGGAAGTTTTTAAGAGACTGGAGAACCACATATCTGAGATGGTATAGGTTCTCCTGCTTGAGCAGCGGCTGGACTAGAAGACCTCCAAGGTCCCTTCCAGCTCTATTCCATTCTACATTCTATTCTCCAAAGTTCCTGGAGGTTTTTAAGAAGAAACTGGAGAGCCAAGGAGCTAAAGAAGCTTCTTGGATGAGAAGCGAAAGGTCTTCAAATAAAAACCAGAAAGTCCAGTTGCCTCCTGAAAAAAAGCACCTTTTGGGACAGCCATGACCTGGATGGTTGAGAATCTCTACAGATTTTTAGCTATACAATTTGGGGTAACACCCTTCGAATGATGTGGGAGTAGAACTGGATTTCCAGAGGGAGAATTATTTTCCAGAGGGAAAACTACAGGAACTATTTGCGCCACTCAGGTGACCCCGAGGACACAGATAAACCTCCAAGTGCTTCAACAACCCTCCAAAAGGATGCAAATGACCAGCTGTCTGCAAGAAATATTAATCCTTCCATTCCCCACCATCCAGTCAGAGCTGAAGAAGCTTCTTGGATGAGAAGTGAAAGGTCTTCAAATAAAAACCAGAAAGTTCAGTTGCTCCTTTGAAAAAAGCACCTTTTGGGACAGCCATGACCTGGATGACTTGAGAATCTCTACAGAGATTTTGCAAACAGGGCTTCCCCGCTCTGAGGAGCCCTTTTTCCATCGTGACTCAAGGTCTGGTGACCACCCAGCTCTTTTCTGCTGCTTGTGCTCCTCTTTCCTTTTAACCAGTGGGTTAATTCTGGGCTTGTTTTCGGGAAAGCGAGGGCCTGCTGAATTGGCAAGTACTGTCTGAAGCAGCCGTTGAGAAGTTGCAGCGTCAGGCTCCCCCGAAAACCACTTGGTTGCAACACAGGAATGTGCCGGCTGGAACAACGGGCGGCGTGGGCTTACGGGGTTAGGCAGAAAAACTGCTCGGGTGGGAGGAAGGGGAAGGGTGGAGGCTGGGAGCTGGGATGGCAGCTAACCACCCGTTGGGGTGAAGACTAGAATGCATGCCAACCAGCAGAAATGTCTCTGTCTCTTCTAAACCAATCCAGCCCAAAAAAGAGGAAGAAGCTAGATTACAGATTAACAGAGTGAGAAGAGACCTTTTAGGTTATCTAGTCCAACCCCCACACCAAGGCAGGAGACCCTATACCATTTCTGACAAATGGCAGTCCAGTCTCTTCTTGAAAGTCTCAAGTGATGACACTCCTACAACTTCCGAGGGCAACCTCTGTTCCATGGACTGATTGACTGTCAGAAATTTTCTCCTTATTTCCAGGTTGAATCTCTCCTCGACCAGTTTCCTTCCATTATTCCTTGTCTGGCCTTCGGGTGCTTTGGAAAATAGTTTGACTCCTTCCTCTCTGTGGCAGCCCCTCAAATATTGGAAGACTGCCCTGGTCCTTCCCTTCATTAGACTAGCCATGCCCAGTTCCTGTAACCATTCATTGTATGTTTTAGTCTTCAGTCCCCTAATCATCCTGGTTGCTCTTCTCTGCACTTTTTCTAGAATCTCAACATCTCTTTTTATAAGTTTGGTGACCAAAATTGGATGCAATACTCTATGTGTGGCCTTACTTTCTAGAGTGGTATTAGTATCTCCCTTGATCTTGATTGTGTTCCTCTGTTAATCTTTAGATGTGTAAACAGAGGCATAGAATCAAAATCACGTGAAGTGTTCGTATCTTTTTGAGGGAAGCCTCGCCCCCCCACTCCTAGAAGAATGAAATATTTTGAGAAGTATTAAAAAGGCAGAATCTTATATTTCCCTAAATAACAAAATGAAAAAAAACATGGTTTTTTAAAGAGACAGGAGGCAGCTTTTTAAAATGCAGATTTGGTCCTTCATTCAAGACAGGATTATTAAAACCCTAAGGAAGACAGTGCCTAGGATTAATTAACATTTGTTTAAACAAGATTAAAAATCTGAGGAAGACAGCGCTTTAGACTCATTGCTGGCCTTCGCTGGGCAAAGGAATTAAAACTAAGTAACAAAATACACAGAACAAGCCTCTAAATTACAAAATACTGTAGAACAAGACTATATGAAAATCCATGTACTCTTCAAACCAATTGGTCGGCTGACTCAAGACTGCTGGTAGTTTTGTTCATCATTAAAACCATCTTTCCAATCAGCCTCCATGTTGTTTCCAGTGTCTTTCTCCTAGCTTGGAACCAAACCAGAGGGTTATTTCTTCTAACAGCTTTGTAAATCCTTAGTAAGATGGAATACAGCATCCAATTTTGGTCACCAACTTTACAAAAGAAGATGTTGAGACTTTGGAAAAAGTGCAGAGAAGAGCAACAATGATGATTCAAGGTCCAGAGACTAAAAAAGACGAAGAACGGTATTGGACAAAGGAATTGGATATGGTCAGTGTAGGGAAAAGGCCTGGGGGAGGACATGATAGTAGTCTTCCAGTATTTGAGGGGCTGCCCCAAAGAAGAGGGGGTCAAATTATTCTCCAAAGCACCTCAAGGCAGGACAGAAAACAATGGATGGAAATTAATCTAGGAGAAAAGCAATCTGGAATTAAGGATAAACTCCCTAACAGCGAGGACAATTAACCAGTGGATTGGCTTTCCTTCAGAAATCATGGGCACTCCATCACTGAAGGCTTTTAAGAAGAGACTGGACAGCCCCTTGCCTGGAATGGTAGAGAGTCTCCTGCCTGAGCAGGGGGTTGGACTAGAAGACCTCTAAGGTCCCTCCCAGCTCTATTCAGATCGATCGATCGATCGAAAAGGATGAGTGCTTGGAGCCAGGGGTTGGGATGGCAGCCACATTGCGTGAGGTGA